GGGAAAGAGACAGGTGGGTCTTTGAATGAGAAATAAATTGCTAATCAATGTTTTTATTTATTTTGGAGCTGGATAAGAGGGGAGTAGTAGAGGGAGGGGGTTTTCTTGTTTTTACATTTGAATTTATTTATATTTTTTAAATAATCGTAACGTTGCAGTAACCAAATATTTGATTTTTAATTGTTTGTTAAGAGACTGTGGTGATGATGAAAGGGAAACACAGAGACGGAAATGTAAGGTTGGTCAGAGAAAGACAGAGTCCAAAATGGAAAGGCAGCATGTGAAGCAGGAGACATGGAACTTGCTTTCCTGTTTCTTTCTTCTGTCTTTATTATTAGTGTATTTATTAATTAATGATTTCTTTAATTGAATTTATATGGGATAATGAGGTGCTGTTACTCTGTTCATCTGTATCGTCCTCCTTTGTAATAAATTAGTCATTAAACAAACATGTGAACCAAAGACAAGTGGGTTCATCATGATTAGGCTGTTGGGCAAGGATCAGGTAAAGGTAAAGATTTATAATTTGTCCCCAAAATCCTCTGAAGAAACTGTAAGAATCCCTAGGGCTGATATATCACAGTTGTCCCGACGCTTGCAGATTTTCAGTACTTGATTGGACTAGATGAAAAATAAATCCAGTAGGGAAAATGTTAAATAAATGGTATTGTCATGTTATGGACTCAATTATGAAACTCGAGTTAGCTCCTTAGGCAGGCAGGGTAGTGCGGATTAATTCAAAAAATATTGGTAAAAAAAATAAAAAAATATTATTTAAAAAAATCAAATTATATTTTGTATAGATAATAAATTGAATCATCCGGTTAATTAAATCATCTTGGATTAATTTTTACCAAATTAATTTGAAAATTAGTTAAGATTAAGTTAATAAAATTTTAAATTGATATATTAGATTGGATTTAATAATATTATTATGAAATGCCATTAATATATCATAAATATCATTTATTTTGGATATAAATATTTGATTGAATTGATTATAAAATATACTTCTCTTTTGAGAATTATAGAATCGGTTTCATAAAATTTTATGGCTATTTCAACAGACAATAATAAAAGAAAAAAATTAGAGCCACGTCTTGGTTGACAAAAAGGTCTATTTTCGTTTTTTAATTTTATTAATCTTGAAAAAAATACTTTCTTAAATGCGTCAGAATATTATTAGAAATATATAATTAAAAAATAGAAAAAAAATGAAATATCAATTAACATATAAACTGATCAGATGTGCTTTTAATCATGAAAAACAAAAAATCATCAACGGTACCCTTTAACGAATAAAAAAAAAAACATAACATTATATAAATTTCCAAAAACTCGTGTCACCAGCTTGGCGCATACTTTCTCTTTCTAATTTGATGGGCATTCATCCACCTCCAACCAGCCCGATCACGGGCTCTACTTCCCCCGCACCAAGCAGCAAGCGTTGGTGACCTGTAAACCATGGCATTATCAAGGCCAGATCAATCGAGGTACATCTCTAGAAGCGGGGTGCCTTGTTGTTAATTCAGAAGCAATTAATTTTGTATCGAATTGAATGAATATTGTATGACATTGCACCAAGCAGTTTAAGCGGCGTATATACATTATTTCATTTCAAAATTAAAAACAAAAAAATCAATTTAAAAAAATAAAAACAAAAAACTTGAATCAAGTTAATAAGTCAAATACACAATTGATTATAATACTATAATAATTTTATAGAATAACTTAAATAAAATAATAGAGATAAACTCTCAAACAAACTAAACAATTAAAGTAGAAACTAGAAAAAAAAACATTATAAATGAAATCAAATCAACTTATATTGGGTCGAATAATATTAAAAAATAAAATTTAAAAAAAATTAATTTAAAAAAAACCAAAAAAAGGTTGATAGGTAATTTTTAAAACTCTTAACTCGAATCATAAGATCAAAATTATTAAATAGAAGACAAACACGAAAAAAATCACAAACCAAAACTTCTAGTGAACAAAAATTAAAAAAAAACAAAACAAAACAAATAGCATGTAAAATAATGAGAATCAAATCTGGTATAAAAACTAAAAAAATAGAATAAATCAAGAAACTGATAAGAACAAAAAAAATAAAAAGCAGTCAGAACAATAAAAACCAAATTAGATAAAAAAAAATGGAATAAAATATCAAGGGATTATATTAAAAAAATAAAAAAAGTAATAATAAAAATATAAAACAATAAAATGAAGACCAGATTGGATACATAAATTCAATAAAATAAAATAGCATTGAAAGCAAAACAGATAACAATAAAAACAAAACAAATAGTAATCGAAGGAACATGTATCAAAACTTATACAAAAATCAAATGAAATAAAATATTAAGAGACAAAATTATAAAAAAAATTAAAATAGCAATCAAAAGAATGATGATCGAATTGGATGTAAAAATTAAATGAAAAAAAAAACATTGAGAGATGAGAATGAAAAAAAAAAACTTTTAAAAAATCTAGAGCAAAGCAAATAGCAATAAAAAAAATTAAAACTAAAATCATTATAAATACAAACTCACAATATACATTTAGTTTTTTGAAGACCTAGTGTAAAATTCAAGATAATGGGAGAAAAAGAGGGGGGGAGTTCACCAAAACTCAACTACTTACTTTATTGTGCACTCACACTTGATTGTTAGGAAGAGGATGGTAAAATCCTTTCAATATCATCATTTAAGATGGCATTCGACCACTAGAAGATACCATCTAAAAAGCACAAGTGTCTCTCACTCATTAATATATGCTTAACATGTGCCAACCATTTTTATTATTTAATTATATTTATATTTTATGAAAAAAATAAATTATCCTCGTTCAAGTGAATTATAACTAACGAACCATGACGAATACATGAGAATGCACATGAATACTAGTTTTAATTTTTAGCTTTTAAAAGTAATGCAACAATTTCATTATGCAACTAGGATGTTAAAAGACCAAAAAGCTCATAGACTCTGATTTTTATTTTTTTGATTTTAAGGATATGTAATTTATTTTATTGTGCATCTAAAATATCAAAAAACTGATTTGTTTCTAATTGACATGACAATGATAACTTGTCTTTGCAAAAAAAAATAATTTTGCACCTAATAACTAATTGAGTTATTGAGTGATTTTGTTTAAGAATGACAAAACATTTATTTCATTGCTATAGTTCGTGGTAGGTACACGGTCATTTATTAACTTCTTTTATTTTTTTTAAGTACCTATTTGACTCACGCTTCATCCCAAGTTGAATAATTTATTTAGCCATAAAAATTAAATATACAAGTTTTTCTGATGTATTTTTTAACAAAAAAAAAATTATAACAATCAATTGAGAAATTTATACATGCATTTAATAAAAAAAAATTTATATATTCAATAAACACGAAAAAATATGTTAATATATCTACTCCACTTGCTTTGTCGTGGACGGGATAATTGTTTTACCAAAGAAAAAGGATGAATGTCTCTAATTTGGTGAATGGAAGATCTCAACTTATTTTCTCAACAAAAAATAAAAATAAAACAATATTACAAATATGATTTATCATACCATGATTCTTTTAATTAAGAAATATAAAGGCATTGTTTACAATAGGTAAAATAAATTTTAAAATGCATGATCTGATAAAAATGAGAATGAGATGTTAATGACAATTAAATTATAAATTAAAAAATAGATAAATATGATATTTAACTTTTTTTTCCCCTTCAATGCACCTGTTTTTTTTTTCTATCTTAAAAGTTACCTTTTCTTACCAAGAACAAATCGTTTTTATATTTTTTTTATTTGAATAAAAAAATTAAAAAAATAATAGAATTGGAATAATATTTTTGAAACATTAAATACATAAAAAAAAACCATTACTTAAAAATAAACACTATTTTAAAAATATCAGAGAAGATAGGTGTTAATCTAAATATAAATTAAAAAAATATTTTTAAAAACAAGTATAAAAAAAGATATTAATTGAAAAAAAAAACAAATACTGCTCGACTTAAAAAGTAAAGCTTATGTGTTTGTCCCGTTTTAAAAAGGACCCACTCTATATGGTGGGTTGTTTTTTTATTTGAAAATTAAACTAAACTTTTTGAAAAAATAAATCTAATGGGCTTGTTGTCTGCTTTATATCGTATTTTAGCCATACTGATAGCTGAAAATTCTAGGTTAATATTTTGTTTTATATAAAAAAATTAATTTTTGAATTAAAATATAGATAGAATATCACACATGTCCTGATAAAACTTTATATGGTCCAAACTTATCCAAAAACCAAATCACAAACCTAAAATTAACTCAAAATCAAAAAATATTTTGAGTTTGGATCTACCATTTCAAGCAATAAAAAAGCCAAATAATATCTAGATGAGATTTTTTTCGTCAAATAAAACTTATGAATGCTAAGATTGATTTTTTTTTATGGGTTATATCAATACCAACTAATATTTGTTTTTTCTCTGCTACTAGAATTTAGTGATTTTCTCTTTTCTCTCTCAAAATAGATACTACAAGGCAAGAGGAGCTGACACTCTTTTTCTTCTTTCCTCACAGGCTGGTCTCTTTTGTTTCAATTTAGATATTTCTTAACAATTCTTGGTACATTGGGGTCATAAAAGGGATACAATTGGAAAAAAATAAAGTCAAAGGATTAAATAAAAAAATTCACTGTGAATTACTAAAGTGAGTGAAAAATTGACGCGTTTTAGATTTTTCTTGATAATAATAACCCGGGACTCGGGAGAAAAGTACTCGCATTTGATAGTGGTTGGAAAGGTGGAAAAGACAACACTGTGTTCTTGCAGCCGACATATGATCATTTGACCGAGTTGGGTTCTTTCAAGAGGGCTGGCTGCGGATTTGGCGGCAGCGCTGCGGATTGGGCGGCAGCCTCTCCTCGTTTTTCTCCTCCGCTCCAAGCTTATGCCATGGAGTCTTGCAATTGACAAACTAGTTGCGT